GGGCTTGGGCGGCAGCGGCGGCGCCCGGCAGCTGCTGCTGCGACTCTCGCTGCCACTGCGGCTCTCACTGACCAACAAGGTAAAACATATCATATATACTGGTTCGAGCTAATCATTTCAACTGCCCTTTCATAAAAAATTGAGGTTAATAGAGATTTAAAGTAATGAGATGAACAGACCTGTCCCGCAAGTTGCGAGCGAACTCGTGCGACATCTTGATAGTCTCTGTGGAGGAGCGCAGGTACGGCGGCAGCGACCTCTGCACCAAACACAAAAATAAATGGTATATCCATACAATTATATTCGTGATACATGTACACAATTTTATAAAAAAAAACGCTAGAGATCAACCTATCTGACAAATCAATTTTATCATTAGAATATTCCAATAGATGTCAGCGCTAGTACATAAGTTCTCTCTCAAGTAAATTGTAGATTTATTAAAAAATGTACTCACATAGACATCATCCCTGGAGCTGAATGGATTTGTGGACTGCGCTTCAGATTGTGGACCCTTGTTCTTAACAACCTACAATCAAAATACATACCAATTATAATTTTACGAAAGAAAACTTCGAGGAGATATTTAGCTGACTAGTCTACACCTTTTTTCTTAACAAAGAAATGTTATTTTCGTATTTTTTTCGTTTAATCTTTACAAATAAACAGATAAATAATATGAGACCTTGCGTTTGTAGCAAATAAAATAGCACAAGTGGAAACACATCGCGCACAAACTGGCATATGATATAAGTTGCGTGCTGAACAATGGCGGATGTTGCGTGACTAAACATTTGTATGCAAACGCATTACGCCTTTTTAGACAATCCGCTTTGTTTTTCAAACTATTGTATCGTAATTTGTAGAAACTTGGCTACGCCGCGACTTCCCCTGAATAATTAGGGAAATAATTTAAATATTCAAATGATTAGAGATTTATACAGTTAAATGGAAAACGGAAGATTTCAGTTTAGACAAAAAAAGTCAAGATAAATGCAATTTAAAATCGTGTACCACGATTTGGGTATTGTACAAGAACAAAATGTTTATTGTATGGGTATCCTAATATTCATTTTGTGTTCAGTACTAATATTAAAATTATGTTTATGTACATATAAGAATACAGAAATACATTAAACACTTATATACATAAAAATAGTTACCTGCGCTATGCCTTTCTGTATGCATTCCTCTAACAAGTCACCGGCGTCACTTAAATTGGAACTATCAGAAGTATCGTGATGGTTGTGTTCGGATACTTTATCCTCATGTTCAGGGGGCACGTGTTGCGTGGCGGGGGGCGGCAGTGTGGGGGGCGGCAGTGTGGGCGGCGGCAGTGCGGGGGGTGCGGCGGGCGCGGGGGGCGAGGAGTCAATGGAGAGCACTGATAGGTTGGAGTTGCTGCCCGCCTTTGACAAGATGGCGGGCGTGTCCTCCGTGAAGTACACCTTGCACGTGTCCCCGGGAGTTTGTGTACCTGCGATTAAAATGTATAATAAAATATACGATGCGTGTAAGCAAAATATTATCAAAATGATATAAAATACATGTTTCCTATAGTAATAACGCGAACATACCCTTAATGGAGTCATTGTGAATTCCCGAGACGACTGGCAGCGGTTGAATTTCTTGCCTAAAAAAATTATGTTTGAATGTTAAGAAAGGAATAGTGTTTTATAAAACTAAATTAATTAATTCAAAATGATTTATACGATACCTATTAACATTGGCCTGTAAGGTGGTATGTGGCGGTGATTCCCCCTCTGTGGGCTTCACCATCAGGAGTGACTGCTGAGGAAACACATAATAATTTAATTATTACAACAACTCAATGGTATTCAAGTAACTATAAAGAAAGATCATGGTGTCGTGTCGTGACATGTACAGGTGTAGGGGAGGAGCGGAGCGTGCTGGGGGGTGGGGATGTTACCTTGGGGTCATCGTCAATGGTGAGGCTGCTGAGGCTGGTGCGCGCGGAGAACTGCGCCGGCGTGTGCTCCACTTGGAACCGCGACACGCGCTCCTCGAACACTGACCTCACCACGCATGACTCTGTACACATACAACAAACATACATATAACATACTTATTGAACTAAGATGTCACTAATATTTTGCGAATAAAATTCTTAAGAAACTTATTTTAAAAACTGAAAAACACAACATTTTATTAATTTTGTTAAGTAGAGTAACATTTTGCGAGATTTGTGCCTCTTTATGTTTTAAATTTGACATAAAATATGTATAGTATAGTAAAGGTACCGTTGTGGAGGGGCATCATGTCGGCGTGGTGCGCAGGAGGGGGCGCGGCGGGCGGGGACAGCGGCGCGCTCTGACCCGGCGAGTCGGGGATCTCGCTCGGCGAGATGCAGCCCGACGTCAGCCGGCTGAAACACATAACGTAACATGATAAAACCTAACTAAAACTGTAGAATTATCTCACTTAACAAAGAAGATACTGGCAGTTAGACAGAGACAGAGTACGCAGAGGAAAAAAAAAAACAGTTATGTAGTTACTAACCTGACTTCGGAGACGACAGATCCTTGGTCGTCATGCTGCGAGCACTCGGGCAGGGAGCCGAGCGAGCTGGAGCGCGAGAACATGAGAGGCGTGTCCTCTACGAAGCGGCCCGGCGTGCCCGGAGAGCCCGGTGTGCCCGGACCTGATACCAGCGGAGACCGAGCGAACGTCACCGCTTTGGAACCTGACGGATTGAACGGGTTAAAATGACAATGGATCGTTTATAATTTGCTGAGAAGCAGTATCTAAAAATACATGGCCGTTATAAAATCTTTAATATATTGACGCAATGGTTTACCTTCTTTGTCCTTGCCGGAGGAGCTGCTGGTGCTCTGCTCCTGGGGGCCGGGCTCGACATGCATGGTGGCTAGCGCGTTCCTCTTGGCTAGGCTGTCCTCCTCTGTCGGCTCCCCGAGGCTGCTCAGCGAGCTCACCCGCGAGAAGTACCCGGGCGTGCCCTCGTCGCAGTAGTTCACGGGTTTCTCCGGGCTGATCATTCCCGAGCTGAATTTGGTATCAAATACGCTTCGTTTTTCGGGAATAGGTTCGGCGGAGGTCGGCTGCGGCGTAGATATGGCGCGGTCGTTGTCGTGTCGCGGCGGATCCTCGATGGAACACGTATCCTTCTCGTCCGAGTGGGTCATGACCTCGGGGTTTTCTTTCGCGTTGGGAGTACTCTTCGGTTTCCCCTCTTTTCCGATAACGCGTAGATCTGACATGGATGTGGCTGTCGAGAAAATGATTGGAGTTTCGTATGGAGTGCCCTCGGTGGCGAAGTGTTTAATGGTATCCTCGTGCACGGAGGGTCCGGGCGGCTCGGAGATGTCCGAGCCCGTCTCCGAATGATGTTCGGCGTACCGCAGCGAGTAATCCGTCGGTTGATCTAAATCCGTTTCTTGATAATCGCCGAAGGTGTTGGAATTTTCCTTTTTATACTTCTTAGTGTCGGAGCTCTTGGATTTTTCTTGCGCTGGAGGAGTTTCGGCTTCGTTATTTTTAGTTTCCGAGTACTTTCTGCTATAATCTATGGGTTGGTCGCAGGAATCTTGGTCGACGTCGTAACCAGATTCCGTGTAATTAGTTCTCATGTCCGTGGAACTTCTGGGTGGTGGTATAGGAGGTTGATTGTACCGGAGGTAGGTATTATCTTTGGGTAGCGTCTTCGAAGCCGCCTTAAACGCTTCGCCCGAAGTTTCCATTCTCATTAAGTCTTTGCTCCGCGGCGTGGGCACGGGCACCTTGCCTGTGCGCATGACCCTCTCGAACACGGAGTCGGAGTGTGTGCTTGTGACGGAGTCCTTGCTGTCGGACCTGTTGACGTTGCCAGCACTACCCGTGTTGGATCGTGTCACCAGCGCGCCTTTCAATAGAGTGTTACTGCAACTGAGGTAGCTTGCCAAGTGAGCGCTGTGGCTTAGTGATATCTGCGACGCAAGATTCCCCATGAGCGGGGAACTAGACGTCATTCTATGTCTTTCTAAGTTCATAGCGATCTGTCTTTCTGTCGCCGTGAATAGGTTCTTTTCTTCTCTGTTACTAGTCGAAGGTGAAGTGGCCGGTTCGATGTTGTCGCATGTCTCGGCCAAATTTTGATCCAGCTCTTGCTCTAACGCCTTTTGTTTCCGGGCGCCAAGAGTCGGCAACGCGGGTAAATTCATATTTCTGGCAGTAGTGTCTAGGGTGATTATGTGCGATTTGCCAGGTTTCGAATTGAGAAGATTCTTCAGAGCTGCGCTGGAACCCATCGCAATCATTTTATGTTTGGAATGAATAAGACTCCTGAGCATAGGTACGGCTCCGTGGTCCCAGAGGAATTGTTGGTCTTGCTGGCATCGAGCCGATAGGTTCCACAAGGTACCGCACGAGTTGCTAACGACCGTTAGACTGGGAGACTTGAGGTGCTGCAGTAAGACACTCAAACAATTTCTCTCGCGGAGAATTTGTCTGTAATCTTCGCGGACGGCGATGTGGCTCGACACATTCCTCATTATACCTCCTGCGTTCTCCACAATCGCTAGGGTTTTAGTCGGGGAGTTATAGCTGAGCATATCTACGAGAAAACCTAAGGCTCCGTCGACGGAACATAAAGCGACTTTGTTCATGGAGCAGTGGGCGGTCAGGTTCCAGAGAGCCGAGAGCACGGACTTGAGCGTTGCCTCCTTTTGGCAGGTCATCGCGGCCTTGGTCAGACCCTTTACGGCTCCGACCTCTCTCAACACTTGTTTACTGTTGGTATCTGCTCGCCAAGAGAGGTTTCTCAGTACAGCAGCTGTAACCTGAAAGCAACGAAGTAAAACAATTTAATAACTTTAAAATGCAAAATTTTAAAAATTAATGTTATGCAGGCTCAATTTGCCCAATTTGTCACATAATAAACCACGTCTTATTTGAGATCTTATAACTTCGAGATGAAATAGATAATTTTTGACGTTTAAATTTGAGCCCTGCTTACGAGGACTGTGATTGTTTCCAGTGGTCTAATACACCTACATATACAAATAATAACTTACTTGTCGCATATCATCATTGGGGGATTCCAGTTGTTCAACGAGCGCCAACATGAAATCCTTGAAGGAGCATAACAATGACTTGTTGTTGCCATCTCCGAATGTTAAATTAGTGAGCGTCATTCCGGCATACTTTCTCATGGTGAGACAGGTGTTATCGTCAGTTCTGCTGCCGTGCGCCGCCTGGTCGCCGCTCACCAATGCCGCCAGCGCTTGTAGACCGCCCAGTTGGCACACCACGTGTCTATGTTCTTCATCAAATGATAGCTTCATGAGCGCTGCGACACTTTGACTAGGATGTTTAGTGGCGTCGTCTTCTATTACTTCTTTGCCTTCTTTCCTCGCATCCACCAAGTCTTCTAACACGTAACAATATTCGCGAACTTGTTCGAGCAACCTCCACACTCTCGCTTCTCTTCTGCCCGCTTTGTCGTCAGTTTGTGTATGGATAATGTTTCGCAGTGCCTTGGCGGCTCGGTCGCGAGTCTCTCTTGGTACTTTCGAATGAATTAACTGTACTAGTAAAGGTATGCATCCAGCTTGTCGCATCGCTATACAACTTTCAACAGACCTGCTCATTTCTAGGAGCGGGCCGCTAAGATCTGCATTATTTTCGGGCGACAAGCTGAGTAGGGATATCAAGGAACATACACATTCCATTTTATTTTCTAAATTGGAGGAAGGTCTGGAGCAGTTATTTGAGCCATTACTTGAAAAACTTCTAACACTAGAGGAGTCCTGGCCGGTCCAGACATCCCGTTCCCCGGGCCAGGTACCTCTATAGAGCTGGGAAGCCCGTTTGTCTCTTTCGCTCGATCTGGCCGCGCTTTCTAGACCATAATGCAATGTGGTTCTATAATTTGTCCTATGGGGTCGGTCCTCTTCAGCGGTATACGTGGAAGACTGTGATTTCATGGGTCGTTTTGGCAATGCTCCGGATTTCTTTTGTGCTTGGCCATCGTCACCGTCGATTTCGTCATCTAAAAAGTTTGGATTTGTTATGTCGCTTCGTTCATCAAACTCGTCGGGTGATGGAGAATGGTCCAAAAAATGCGGTTTAGGGATACGGCACTCGATATTTGATCGAGACGGTGGTTGGTAGTCGTCATCTAAAAAATGTGGCCGGCGCGCGAGTGTGTCGGATTCCAGAGTTTCCAGCTCTAACGTGAGATCCCGAGCACGTGTCTTGTCAGTCCCTTTGGAGGGATATTTTGTTATATTTCTAGCTTTAGCGTCATTAGTGTCCGGCAAGCGACGCGCGTCGGGAGATAGCGGGCTGGAGGAGTGCGAGGGGCCTCGAGGGGTCTCGCTCGAAGTGGAAGGTGTGCAGTCTTCACTAGCCGAAGGTCCGGAATCAGTCAATGGGGAGTTCGAAGAATCCATACTGCTCCAAGGATCTACCATTACTTCGTTCTCCAACTGAAACAAGAAAAACTAAATTAAGTAATTCAATAGTGATACGATACAATGTACCGAGCCAAAGGCAAACAAGTTCCAAGCTTGTTCAAAGGAAGTTATTTTTAAGGGCATGTAAATATCCTTAAATTAAGGCAAGTGACATTGAATGAGACGGAGGAATATAGATTATGAATGTGTTGTTGAATTCCGCGAATTATTTAACATGTATTGTGTGTAAAAACATATTAAAATGACTATACTATACTATAATATAACAATTATAATCAAATTAATGAAAACCTAAAGGTTGGAACGCTGTACAACGCTGAAAACTGGAGAAATTGTTATTAAAAACCTATCATTTTTACATTCATTAGTATTATCACGATTATGAGTTAATCGTATCGAATTGGTATTGATTAAAATTGTTTCGGTTAACGTGAATCGAAGTTAAATGTGTAACCAGCGTGGTCAAGGTCATTTGGCAAGAAAGCTGAGACTAGTACGTTATTTGTGGAATTACAACTACTGGTATGTTTTATTGCTGTTAATTTACAGACTGATCAAAATACCGGTTACGATGTTGAAGCCATAAAGGAGATGAGATGGCTAATTTACCCAATTTGCTTTACATTTGCCTTTTCCTTATACTTTTAGATTTCGATGTGAGAATATTGTGTCTATAAAGGAAATATGTCTTTTTTACAAACATGAAAATGTACTACAGACGACGACGACATACGACAGCAGAATCTCTCTGACAACAAATAGAACTCTTAAATAATGATAGAATGCCGTAACCAGTGTTGGTGTCTTGAGCATTTCAAACATTTTGAATTGGAATTTTGTAGCTGGAATGATTCCAAACATTTTCATATTATCTTCGAGAACTTGACATAAATTGTTACAAATTTATTCTAAGGGATGAAAACAAAAAGAAAACAGATTTTTTAACGAAAATTTTGTAAAGATATATTGGCTTTAAGGCGTGAATTCTTTTAGATTTGAAGTTGAGTGATGAGTAATAAGGGGGGGAGGGGAGGCTATAGTGTTTAAACGGTATTATTATAACGCATCAGCAGGCAACCCACGACTGCTCCTAACGGCACTTGAATGCAAATCAGAATGTACGATTTTGTTTAAGTGCAAACAGTGATTCAGATTATTTTGAGAAACTTGGTAGAGGATGTTCTAAGGAAAGGTAATATGTCCACACATTTCATGCCACTACAATTTTAACGATAACTTTTATTTACCTGTATAACGTTTACCAAGTTTACTCGGCAGCACTGGAAGTGTTAGTGTTGTTAGATCATGCAACGCACATAGAATACTAAAGATTTCGATGAAATTAATTAATACTGTGTAATACGATCATGGAACAGTTCAAAAGAAATTCGAGCCGACTGTTGTAATTACTTTACATCTGTGGAATGTACAGATAGAAGCGGTTACTTTATATGCAAAACAAACTTCCGCTTACATAAATTCTATGTAAATAAAACAAAATCTTATGTCTGCATACGTCTTTTTAGACCAATGGATTTTTAACCATATTTTTATGAAATTTTAACATGTTATTTAAGATTTGTGCTCTAAAAATCATTCTCATCTATTTCTTATTCAAGAAAAACAACGATGACAAAAGTCTGTACATCACCTTGTGGACGATTTTTTTCTGAAAAAGTTACAATAACTGATATGCTATTAGCCGCATTTTTCAAACGCTAATGTTAACTTTCTACTGAGTTTTGCGATATAAACTAGATTGTAAGTACAGTCATTAAGGTTGCTGCTCATTTGTCACAGATGACACTATCGTTCCTAACTGTACCGCATCTCTCTAGAGATTATTATCAACGTATTAGAACTATATTAATACCGTGATTATTCAGTTTTTAATTTTATGTACATATTTACCATTAATTTTTTTTACTTCATCTTAATATAGAAAAAAATTAAACGTCATGATGTCATTTATAATTTCAATCATCTCTCCAAGGTTCTATGCAATTTCTTAAAAAATATTGTCGAAATCATAATCAATTCAATTGTGTTACTAGGGAAATAAATAAAATGTTTTTGTCCCATACCCTGGTGTATAAAGAAATGTGTTTACATCAGAAGAAAGATTATCTTCTACCGCGTTCGTATCACGTTACTCTTATACCAACAACGACAATTTATCTCAGTGATGTGACGCATTCTTTTCCTATTGGCAAAGATCCAGTTAATAAGACAAAGGTTATCTTAGGCATTTGAAGACTACAACTAAATATCAATAGAGTTACCCAGATAAATAAAAAGAAATTATTAATTATTATTGATGATTTATAAATTTTTAACAGTGGTAGAGCTCGCTTTAACATCTTCGCACGAATTGGCCCGGCTCGCCCGGTGAAATACCACGACGACACAGAAGACAGGCGTCAAGTGGAAGCAATTCCGCGTTTCGTCTGATGAGTGTGCGTCCCGGAGGCCTAATTTAGTCCTCTTGCCCTTCCTAACCCTTTCTTTTATAAGGAAAGTATGGGAAGTGGAAGTGGACTTTCCGGATGAGAGGATGCATGGGAAAGGAAGATATTTTCTTTCTGTGCATCCTCTCCTCCGTAAATTAAAGGTAGGCAACGCATATGCAATTGCGTATGTCTATGGGCAAATGTCAAGGGTTTAGGTGGCCGCTTGCTCGTTTGCCACCTTATGATATAAAAAAAATACTAAAAATACGGAAACCGATTAGTAAAATCACTTGTAAATTTATAAAAAAATCACTAAAATATTTTTATTCAGTTGGGGAATGAATACAAAAATCTCATATAGCACGTGTCTAGAAAAAATCTATACAGATTCTTCTAAAAAGAACCTTGACATTGCTTTTGTTCAATTAATTAAGCCCAACTTCAATTAACTGTCTTAACAAACCCCTAATAAACAACGTCTTACTAAAGAACTATTTTTTGTTTACTAACAATGTTCTTCAAAATTTTTTCTTAATACTTATCTGTTGTCAAAATATAAATATTCGAACTTTAGTAATAAACAAAATTGTTTTTATTCGATTTATAATTACGATTTTTGTATAACGTAAAAGCAACTTTGGTACCTTGGTATCGACGTCTCTAAGGTCGGAATAATTTTGTCATAGGCAAGTTACACTGTATATTGCACGAGTTGGTACTATAAATTTCTCACTTTCTAAATTAACAAAGTAATAAGTTATTACACTAAAAACGTAACCTGTCTGTACAGAGGGTCCATCGCGAATATTTGCGATATGCGTTTTCATAACGTCATCGCAAAATATGTCAATATTTGTATGAGATTTGACGTTGCACTTCACGCCCGATAGGGGCGCGGTAAGTATCTAATACAAATTTCGTCGATAACGTTACAACGTGCACACACAATTGTACAACGCCCTCTGTATTTGATAGAAAAAATTAATTGTTAAAGTCGCAATGTTTCTTAATTGTCCCTTTCTTAGATAATATTAGCTGTAATAATCTCACAGAATAGATGAATTTAATCGTCATTTACGTACAACAAAGAGTGTCGCATGATGTATTAGCATGTCAATACAATGGCCGGCGACAAACAATACAATGATGTCCGTTACTGTACTGATCAATATACAATGCTCTATCGAAATGCTTAGTTACCCATTACTTCAAGCAATTGATTATATTGAACCGTCAATTTAAAACGTTGAAGGAAATCATTTTGAAATTAAGTTTTATTGAAGATCTATAAAACATTTTTATGTTTCTGTGATTGCTAAGTATACGAAAAATCTTGTAATAGAAGACAAGAACCAGGAGCGTCTCTTTTAAGGCGTTAGCTAAAGTCAGATGAGAGTCATATGCCTAGGAAGCTATGTCTATCAGTAGACACAAGCGAATGATGATGATGATTTTAATTATCTTTTGAATATTTTTGGATAGAAAAAACTTAACCAATATAAATTATTTTCTTTTGGCATCGTGCCAATAGATCTAGCTACACATTGTTGGAGCTGACTCAATACGCATAAAGATTTTTCCAAAGTGCACAAAGTATACTTTGAGATTGGTTTATAATTTGAAAAACGACTCTAAATAAGGAATTTTATATTTGTGCCGAGTTTCTGGCGCTGCGCCAAGAGCTGAGATAATACAATTCTCCAGTTTCAAGATAATTTTCTAGTAGTGAATATATTTTTTTAAATCTCCATTGTCTACGTTATAAGCAAAATTATAAAAGTATATTGACATATAATGCCTCTATAGCTATAGGATAAAATTTTTCTTTTACATAATAAGTTCCTTTATAAATTAGTGATGACACTTTCATTAGCATTGTATGGAAAAACAGTCGCAGAGAAAAATATATTTTTTTAAATAACAAAACATCGTCAGCACTGCATTAAAAATATGAAATAATTTTTACATCACACATGTCGCAACAAATAAATATTAGTAACTACAAAATCACATACCAAATTAAAACAAAGTTGCTTTTTTATACTTACCAAATCTCTATCATGAGATATATTATGGTTTCCGTTTTCCACATCAATACCGGAGTCGTTTGGATCACCTCGTCTGCATCTCGTCACTTCATGGAACACACTGCTTATGCTATTGAAGTTGATCCTAAGATCCGTACTAAAGTCATCGTACAGTTTAAAATGATTCGCATTGAATTCTGTATCGTTATCGAGATAGTCTCTGGTGTTATGTCTGTCAGATGATTTGTTCCGGTACATCACTTTGTAGAAGTCCCGCGCACTCATTTTTTAAACTTTTACGTTTGTATGTTTATGACATTATATAAACTCGTGTTATAAAGCTGTAGGATATAAGATATTGAAGGAATGCTATCATTTATGGCAGTTGCGATAGTTTACTGAAGGTATTGTGTTGGATAGTGTTCCGTGTTTTATCCTAAGCTAGTTTCACACGAATACAGACAGAACAGAAGTCAGTGCAGTACTGCTATTTTTAAAAAAATCACTGTTATGTCTTGACTTGTGCGTTGTCAATGTTCCACCCTCGTGTGAAGCTAGGCATTACATTACATCTGAAATACTAAATTAAACGCTAATAACCTTTACAATAATGATACTACTGCTTTTTTCTTAACCACTGCATTTCATTTAACCATTTATAAATCTCTTGGAAGCAAAAGCTAAAGTTTTAAGTATCGTAAATCTATCGTTGGTTCGCGTAAGACATAAACAAAATAAGAAATATAGTCCACACCTCCCATACCACGAAATAGGTCAGCAATATTCATAACAACAGATTTAGAATCTGTGAGGGCTATAGCTTTTATTAAACAAAGCGATACGATATTGTGAATAAAGTTATTGATAGATCATCTCTTCTATTTTATGAAATGAATTTTATTTGAAGCACAAGCTTTTGCCCGTGACTTCGTCTGCGCAGAATTTATATCAAGGTGAATCGCATCTGTTACTGGAGACTGTGTTTTATCTATGCCAAGTTACATCGAGATTCATTGTGCCGTTCTGGAGATACCTTCTAACAAACATGTATCTATACAAAAATTCGCATTTATAGTAGTATTTAGTAGGAAGTAATATATTCCGATTTTATTTATTGGATCCGATGGAAAGTATATAGTAAAAGTCAAACGCAATGTGACATTTCTAGCCTTTTATAATAATATCATCTTGTTTATATAACTCGAGATAAGAAACGGGTTACTAGCACAAGGTTATGTATGTTTTGGCACGTGTTTTATATAGTAAGAAAATTTTATGCAATTTATAGATTAGATAGGGAAATAACTTGCCTATTCAAATTACGAACAGAAAACAAGTTGATGAAATTAATATTCTATCATAATACAAACAAACGGAACCATCAGTCACATAAACATATGACCGTTACGTTCCTGTTTTTGTTTGTTTTTTTAAAAGCAAAGTTACAAGTCTATTTATTGCTTGCGTATTAATATAGCTCCGGGATCTATAAGGTTATTTCACAGGAGCTGGCCACGCGCCAGAACGTGACCGGAAGATTTTTAAGAGGATTTTTACACCGGCTTCGAACGAGGAAGACTTTTCATTCTAGTTTTGCTGTGCATGAATGAACTCAAAATTTATCAACACATCTCAATTGATGTTTTGCAAAGAATCTGATTTTAGTCTATATTATTGGTAAAAATAACTGGTTGTTTCGTTAAATATTGGAACATGGCATTAGTTTACTTCTGTAAAGCACAAGTGTTACCGATACATTCCAAAATATACAAGGCTTGAGCACTATTTGCTGCATGGAAACCGGATGTTAACAAATAGAATTAATAGGAATGATCACGTGGTAATATATCGCAGCCGGCAAACCAACATTTTAATGCTATCAACATCTTACTGCCCTATTTCTATCCGCCTTGTGTTGGTAATAACACAATATGTGTTGCGATATACATCTTTAAATTCTTATGATCTAAGTCACTCAGAAACTAGTAAAGTTCCAAATTCTTGAACGTCCTACTTGAATTTCGCATGCCAGCATATCTTATTAAAATGGGAAAGCACGCGCGTCTTTTGGTACAAGCAACGTTAGTATACGTTACTGGATCGACTTCAGTATTTCGTGGTACACTAAAACATCAATAACTATATGATTATCAGAGTACCGGTCCTCGGCAAGTAGCTGTCGTATGGACAGCCCTTGACCGAGATGTGGCGCTTATCCCCCCACCCGTCTGTTACCTCCTCCCGTGTTCTAAGGCTTCCGAGTCTCATATGTTTCATTTGCTGTAATTTTTTACGAAACTTCATTCATATATTTAATGTCTTGCAAAACAGGTTTATTGTTGAATATATAAACTGATTTAGAGGAATTCAACAAACTTTAGCAATAACGTCAAATAAAATGATTTGAAAATTTATCTAATACATCTTAAAATAATTTTGAAAGTGATGACATACTGTCACATATCAAATTTAGTTAATTCAGAAGCATAAAGCTTCAATTCAAGTTCACAAAGACACAGTAGTAGCACATGGGGTAAACAAAATGAACAAATGATTACAAGTCAATGAACCGCATTACATAAACGAAAGCACGAAGGGGTCGATGCGCCTCGGACAACCTGAGAACGACAGCTGATGTTAAGCATGCACAAAGCAACAACAAAAGCTGTCCGAAAAAGGAATATGCACGTTCAAATGATAAATACCAAGATCAAGAAGCATTAGCAAGTACCCGTAACCAACGATTCGTAAATATAGACCAAGGGAGTATGAATATATGAAGGTAGAAGATGCAGAAAAGAGATAGTTCTTCATACAACAGAACTCTGTGGTTTTTACATTATCGAGACATTTTCATTGTTGTTATCATTGGGAGAACAGAGATAACAAGTTTTAATTCAAGTATTTCGTCAGTGAAACTTCACATATCTCAGTTTTCGTATCTTTACTTTATTTTAACGAGACGTGAGTCACAATAAAAAATATTTATATTTAAACTCAACAAATTAATGTCGAGGTCACAAAGAGAGGTCTTCTCTACTAATTGTATTTTGTCTGAGTCATAGCGTTGTTTGTGTACGTCTTCATTGTTTTTTAAACGCTATATTATTTTATTCAATGTAAGCTCCGCTCATGTTAGGTTAATTTGTATTTTTTATTAAGTCTCTGTTTATTTTACGACAGACTTCTAAGAAAATTTTCAACCGAAAACATATATTTTGATATTGGTATATATGAATTTCACCAAATGAGTTCCCCTCGAAAATAAATCGTCCCCTTTCGAGACAAATTTCGTTCTTATCACGTTGGTATAAGGTTGACTGTTAGTTTTGTCCTATGGCTTCGAATCTGAGACGCGACGTAGTGTCACTCGACATGCGACAGTTGGGATGACAGAACCCGGTCGCCGGGAGGAAGCAGGGTTAAAAATAGAATGACTGTTTTTACAAACGTGGCGTATATTAGTTACGAGGGGGCGTCACAAGTTTAGGGTTACGTTAAAGGTTATGAAATGATACACGTGATTTTGTTAACAATCATGTTAATTACGTAAATTGCTGCAGCCGTAAAAGTCAATACGGAATATTTAATTTAGATTCAATTGAAGAAAACACAACAATTAGATACAAACGTCTTATAAATCTTAAGTTCAGAAAGTCTTCAAAAGTAATAACTTTGGAATGTTAAGACAAATTTCTCGTTCAAGTAAACAATGGGGGTAAATAAAACAAACCGCATGAATGGTCAGAGAACCACAGGCCGTGCCGGCGCCGGCGCAGCCACTTCGCTGTCAGCCTACTCTCCAGCCATTAAACAAGAAAGCAGTCCAGCAGTGAAAGTGCACTCGGAATTCTGCTGTAATTGGAGTGAGACCGCACTCGCTCAGGGGTGGCTGATCTTAGTCACCAACTATGGCATTTATACTAAAAAAAATGTCATCAACTTTTACTTACAATGACATCAACGTCAAAAGACTAAAGCAAACTACAGCCCTAAACAATCTATTAAATTAACAAGACCATGCAAAATGTCATGTGATCAGTTCTACGCAATTTGGACTTAATATTTTGTTTAGTCTAGACCCATAGAATCATTGGGGTTCCAAAGTACTATGAAGTACATATTTCTTATTACCTCTTACAATATGACGGTGGTAAATAAGATTATTTAGTTGTAATAAACTATTACAAAACACATTACGTAATAACGGCCATGTGTTTCGTCTAAATATAATTAGGTATTCACTCATGGTGTTAAACGATACGAGCAAAGTGAATACAACAGAAATATAATGATTACTTGTGAGTGATAAGGTTAAATAATTTCATTGTAGAATCCGTAATTATATTTTGTCTGCATCAAATACCTAAATCAAATGTGAATTTTACCGCCTTTCAAATGTTTTATGGATTGGTCTTATATAGACTTTAATAGAAAAATTGAATTTTAAATACATTAATCTTAATAGTAAATCCATACATTTATTAGTACATTACCATGTATTATATGATACACGTGTTCTATACGTAACAACTACAAACGGTAACAGCTAGAAAAATTAGCGAACCAAATCATAAATCCCAGTCAAGAAAGTATGTGCGAGAGTGAAAGTTTTGTTGGATTAACAACAGCATTAAGCGTTAGAATTAAAGATGAGATTATTTTAAAACCAGATGTAATATAAGGCGAAGATGATGTAAAGGCAACAGAAACGGTATAAAATACTTCTATTATTTTTTTTCAATCACATTAAGATTTTTTCTGCACAGCACCTGTGTATAATTTGACAAAACATTAATTATTAAAAAAACGACAAAACGTCTCGTTGAAAAATTGCATGTTACTAATGTTGCCAACATATTATGCCTATATCGATTCAATATAATCACTTATATATAAGCTTTGGATAGCCTGAATAAAATTCTAGGAAAGGCAACGGGTCAATATGACGCTGCATTGCGGTGTGCGCCAGTTTCACACAACGCAACCGTATACAAAACCTAAAAAAAACATATAAATACTATATTCCGGATAGGACCAACATATTGGTAAAAACAGGAATGCTGTACAAATTGAATAATAATTAATAAACTTATAATATATTACTTTAATAATTAACTTATATTTTTTTAGACCAAAACATCTTTTGGGGTCTAAAAGAGCGTCACTAATATAAAGTATGCAAATATATTTAAAACTGTGTTGAATGTGCCAAAGACGAGATATATCCTTGAATATTAAAACAACAAGAAGAGAGATTAAACAATTGAAAGTCAAATAATTCATATAATAATGTTAATCGCAAGTTAAATAAAAATAATATTACATCATTGTCATAAAA